AACATTCGACCCTTTTGAAAGAAATGTTTTCAACTGTTGTTTTGTTTAGTTTTGTTTGTTGATTGATGAAAAGGAAGCTATCAGGTTTGGAAATGAGAAGAACAATAATCCAAATAGGCCTAGGCTTTAACATGCAAAACATGCTTGTTAGATTTATCCTCAGAGGCTGTAGGCAAGAGCAGGAAGGCCATCTTCCTAAGTCCATGTTGGGGAAGGACACTGTGTGGGACTCACCCATGCTGTCTGCTCCCACAGGATGGTGCTCACATATTATGGGGCCAGGATGCCAACCTGATATGAGTCAGTGTCCATATCTTCAGAAAGAGACATGACAGAATTCTCCAATGTTCAGCAAACATCCCTATTTGCCTCCCATCTAAGTGCTCCAACTCAAGTACCCTTTGGATCAAGGTAAGACCCCTAAGATTGATCTTTAGTCATAACCATTCAGAATTCAATGACCTTTGAGGAAACAAGACGTTCAGAGAAGAGTGAAAAACTAGGTTCCCCTTTTCAACTCATGTCAGCGGGTATTTTCACTTCAGTAGAGTTTGGTGCTTGAGGGAGTCCAGTCATTCAGTGTCCTAGGAGCTACTCACAACAGACCTTCTGAGGGGGTGAAGACAAAATACAAAGGAGAAATAAACATATGTCTAGGACATGTGCCCCTTAGTTTATAGCTTCCCAGAGACTGAAGGTGCACAACCAGAAAGGAGCTGTCCTTCAGTACGAATGACTCAGCTCACAAGAATTTGAAGTAGACCTGGAAAGGGTCCCCCAAGGCCAAGGCCTTTAAAACCTATAAAAGAAAGAAGAAAGTAAGGAATTAGCTAAGCCTTGTTATGCATTTAACAGGCATTGAGCAGTGGGGCTTCTCTTGGTACTTATTGCATAACTGGTATCTAATCTGGAAAAAGGGCCTTATACTTCAGATCCAATGAAACAAGACTAAGACAGTTCTATAATTAGGGCTGGAGACTGTGCCTTTGACCTCACCTCTAACTCCCTGAAAAATCTATCTACAGGGGAAAGCAGAAGTCTGATACTAGAACTTCTGAGACTGCCGCCCTACTCCATTCCCTTGCATGATGGCCACTGCCTTCACGGTCCTACAATATCGCCAAACTTCCTTTAACCAGGTCTTCATTTTTAGAGCTGATAAGGAGAAGCTTATCTATCGCTAAACCACGGAGGACTGGCAGTGACAGGAAGAAAAGGAAGGCTAAGGAGCACATGGCAAGCCAAGCTCTAGAGACTTGGATCGCAATAATGTGTATATTGGTTCATGTCATGCCAAAGATCTGATAACCAAGCAATTAAAATTCCTACGTACAGAAAGACATTTCCCTGACCCCTGAGTCTCCTGTGACCTTAGCAAGTCACTTATTCCCTCTGAACTTCTGTTCCTGTTTGTTAAGTTAGAACATGTAGTATCCTTCTTACTTCTGGCATGTGATGTGGATTAAATGAGATTATGGATATGAAAGTCCTTTATACTTCACAAATATAAAGGACTAAAGATGTAAGTTCAGATGGAAAGGACTGAACAGTGACTTGGAATGAAGTCCCTCAACAGACACTTCGGTACCTGTTAACGTATGATACCAAAAGGACGGTCACTGGCTTCCTTATATACTCAGAGGATATCAGAGCTACAAAGTTCTAACTTTTCATTTTACAAATAGGAATTAAGATTCAAAAGAGGAAATGTACTTGTCCAAAGCATCCCTGTCTAGGATTCCTAATGAATTTGATTGACAAGCATTCTGAAAATAATCTGGCTGAGGAAGAAAAAAAAGGAAAGGAGAAAAGGACTTAAAATCACACAAAACCTCAGAATTGAAATAACTTTAAAAGATAAGTAATTTTAGGGTAGTAAACTAAGGCGTAAGTTCGGCGTCTGGACCTATGTGGCAGTCTAGTCCTCAAAAATCTAAATCTCCTGAAGAAGGCCTATTTGAACAAGGTTTTGTAATCAGGGGTAGAAACAACATACCTGTGGCCTCAACTCTCATCTCCAGGAAGTCTGCCTTGAGAACTGTGGGCAAAAGAAAGATAGTTCAATAAAACCCTTGAAATCAGGACTGAAAAGGCAAAGCAAAGAGATGAGTAACTCTTTCTGGCTAATGCCAATAAGTCACCTGATTGTGAGGATATAATACTGCCCAGATATTTTTCACATCTGGCTTCATGCTTATAGAGTTGAGGAGGTTTAGAGAATCCGATCTCATGGCCACAAAGCCACCTTTCAGGTGGCAAAACAATCTTTGAGTACCAGGCTTTCGGAGGCTGGGCTATCACAGAGAAGTTAGTCCAAGACCACATTTTACATTCTGTAATTACTACTCATGGTGAGAAGGACAAGAAGCCTGAAGTTCCATGTAAAAGACGAATCCTCCCTGCTGAGAAAACCATCCCTGCTGAGCCTGTTGATGTGCTTATATCAGTCTTAAATTAGTCTTACCTGGGAACAACTGAGGGAAAGAAACAATCATGGAGAACAAATCCCTCAATATGATCAGAGCATCCTTCACAACAGATGGTCTCCACAGCTATATTCCCAGCCTTCTACTGTTCTCTCATCTGCTGAAACTGTTTTATACATATTATGTAAATTATCTTATCTCCATTCATGGTTTCAATTACCCTCAAATATTGGAGACTTTCCTCCAAAGTGTTACTAATCATAATGCAGTATATTTGGATGCTCCACAGTAGAGTTCTGTAATACAATGGCTGTACTTAATAATTCTACTCCCAAATCTATAGAGACACCAGTCGGAAAACTACTCTAAATTGCAGTTTCTCACTAGACATCTCTACATGGATGTCTCACACTGCCTTCAAATTTGATGTCTAAAACTGAGCACAGAAAACTTCTCACAAAACCTGTTCCTTTATGACTAATTATTGTACCATCTACGAAATTGCCCAAATTACACTTCTCCTTCTCAGTACTTCTACAATGTCCCATACTTGAAAAGTCAACAGGGTCTGATTGAGCTGATCTCAAGTCTGTCCCTTCAGTTCCATTCCCACAGCAATACATTAGGTCAGGACTTTCACCAACTCTTGCCAGCATTATTTGTTTCCTTGCTTTTAGTCGTTACCACTATAGTAATCTTTTTACAACATAGCCAGCTCAGAACGTGCACTGCCACTTAAACATCTTCCATGACCTGCCCCCAGTGGACTATGGTACAAAGAGCAAACACCTTAATATGTCATACAAGACCTTTGCAGTCTGACTCCAATTCATTTTCCTGGTCTCACCTTCACCTATGCTTTCCTCCTTTCATTTCCACATTCCATACAATGTAGACACTAATCATTTCTAAAGCCATACTGTATAAGCTGTTCTGCCTCATGAAATGTCCTCTTCTCCCTTCTTTCCTGACAAATCTCTACTTTTATCCCTTGAGTTTTTCATTTTTAACTGTTGAAAAGGGCAAGGGAATGAGGGACAGATGTCATCAAACTGTCAGGCTACAGCCAAGTATGTACTGAAAGGGACAGGGCAATGGTTAGCCAGTTCAGCATTTTTATTTGAAATGGGAGAAAAGGTTGGCAACCAGGTATAAAAGAGATTCACCACATGACTAGAATAAGTATTTTGCTCAGTGGTCATGAGCAAAGCAATGCAAGAAGCAGGCAGCAATGAACTCTCAATATATCCAATTAGGCTAATCCATTATTTCTCAAAATTTTAATGCACATAGGAATCTCTGAGGAGATCTTGCTAAAATGCAGATTCTTATTCCAGATATCCGGAATATATCCCAGGAATCTGCATTTCTAACAAGAAAAGGTTGGCAACCAGGTATAAAAGAGATTCACCACATGACTAGAATAAGTATTTTGCTCAGTGGTCAGCATGTGGATGCCGGATGAAAGTGGTGAATTAAAGGCTGAAGGCTTTGTTTTCCTGTGTGCCTTCTAAGTAAGAAGAACCTGAAGGGAGCCAATACGGATGCTCATGGAACAATGTAAGGCAGGTGTCTTACCTGTATTCTTTCCAAGATGGAATGTTAAGACAGAGAATGGGATTAATTCTAGAATGTTCTAGAAACCTGGATAAAGAGCAGATAGAGTAGTATAGTCTGAAGTGCTTGCTGTGGCTAAGACCTCCTGGATTTGTGGTTGGTCTAACTTTTCTGAGTACTGGCTGACAAAGCCCAGCCCATTGGCAATGTTATCAGTTCTTTACATGCTCTCAACATCAGTTTGGCTACAGCTTTCCTATTGGAAGTCTGTCTGCCCTAAGGATTATACTAGACTTTGTTCACATCTCTTAAACATTCCCTTCTTGATGCCTTGGTACCATCCAAAGATTCAGATCAATCCCCCACTTTTTTCAGTGCAGTTCTGTTTATCTTTCAAGTCCCAGCTCATATATTGCCTCCTCTAAAAAGCTTTCTTTTAAACATACCTGATTTATTCTGTTCATTCCAGTTTACTTCATTCAATTTCTTTTGTATTTATTTCTCAAATGATTTATCCCAGGGAGGGAGAAATGACTGATTGCCAGGAAGTACTGCTGCTCATAGAGAACAACTTTATTAAGAATCTCAAAAGTCTCTCTCTCTCTCTCTCTCTCTCTCTCTCTCTCTCTCTCTCTCTCTCTCTCTTGCACGCGCGCGCGCAGGGCCTCAAGAAAGCTGTGAAAGTACGTTAGCATTGAGCTATACCTCCAGGTCCAAAACCTTTTATCCTTTTGTTATTGGTAAATGGAATCTGGTATTTGATCTCATGTTTATCTGTTATAGTAGAATAAATGATAAGTTATTGTCTAAATAGAATTTGGCTGAGCCTAGAGCTACCTGTGGATGCCAAGCTGTACTATGGAAACTTGACTAGTGCAAAATCACCTCTTGATGAATTGGATCCCACAGTTTTGATAAGAGGATGTTAAACCTATCCCAGCTCAACTGCTAGTAAAGATGTATTGTTCTGCTTTGAAATGACCACATAGAAGAGTTCACTCCTATTATTTGTTAGGAAGCACAATTTAAAACTCCCTGATTAGCCATATGGAACAAACTCACAGAAAACACCCTGAAGAATAAGCAATCATTTCTCCAGGTGTTCCTGTCCACATGCTCCCAAATGCCCAGGGCTTGAACAGTCTGTACCACCATTTCAGAGGTTTTAAAACAAATGGAAAGAAGGGTGGGAGGGAGAAAAAAGAGCATGGAGAGAAGGAGGGAGGGAGGGAGGGAGGGAGAGAGGATGGGAAAATACATTCTCAGACCCTACTCTAAAGATCTGTTTTAGTGAGTCTAGAGTAAAATCCAGGAATCTCTGGGTTTTTTCTCTTAAGTTTTCAAGAGATTTAGATGTATAACCAGTTTGATAATCATTGATTAAGCCAATTGTTTACATTTGAAATAGGAGCCACACTTACTCTGAGGCTACAGAAAATAGAATTCTATATTCTACATGTCTTTGTTAGCTGACCTTTGACATTATGGAGTCTAAATAACCAAAATAACAACAAAAAAGATCACTATGCTGGATTAGCTTTAGTTGTCAACTCGACACACTGGAAAGAGGGAAACGTAGTTGAGTAATCTCCTCTATTGGATTGGCCTGTGGACCAATGTGAGGCGTTTTCTTGACTGTTGAGTGATTGGGGGGGAGTCCACTGTGGGTAGTGCCACCCTTGTGCAAGTGGTCCTGTATTGTATAAGAAAGCAGGCTGAGCACAGGCCAGAGGAGCAAGCCAGTAAGCAGTGTTCCTCCACAGTCTGTTTCAGCTTTCCCTGCCATGTTCCTACCCTGCTTAAATTCCTCCCTTGGCTTCCCTCAGTAATAGAATGTCACTTGGGAGAGTAAGACAAAATAAACCCAACTATCTTTCCCAACTTGCTTTTGGTCAGCGTTTTATCACAGCAATGGAAACCAAAACAACATAATTGTGTGTGTGTGGGGGGGGTAATGTGTGTTTCTAGGTTTGTCTGTGAGAAAGAGGAGCAGAGAAAAAGAAGTGGAATAATGAAAAAGAAAAGAGAAGAGATACAGGGAGATAGAAGTTAAGAAAAAGATAGGAAGGCTGACATAAAGAGAAACAGAAATATAGGCAGAGAAACACAAAAAGTAAAAGAAAGAAACAGAGCACGATAGAGACACAAGTGAGAAGAAATGAGAGACAGAGACGGGTGAGAAATAAAGTTGATCGACAAAACTTGGGAGAGAAAGGGAGAGGGAGGGGTAGCTATAAAGAAAAGGAAAACAGAAAATAATAGCAAAACTAATGAGATGTTTTTGATGCATTTGCTCACAAATGTAATTTTGCTTCTCTTCTGTCACCTGTATCTCTTACCTTCCAGTTTTCCGAGAAGCTGTTTCAAAGAACCTGGTCCTGGATGCCACCCTGCAAATATAAGTCAACCAATTCCCATGAATTGCGTGGAATACATGTGAGAGCCAAGGGTCAATAGAATGGGCGGGACGCTCTGTACAAGATGGCCCACCGATGCCAGGCCCTGCTTTTACCGGGTCCAAGCATTTGGGAGAAACCCAAATATCAGAATGTGAAATGACCCAGAGGCCATATATACTGCAAGGCTACAGATGAGACCCTCCACTCCCTGTTGACCCAGAATGGTTGAAGTTTGTAGTTCCTCAGACTTCTGAGGAAAAATAAATAAATGAAACCAATCTTTGGTTTCAAAGTGTAATTTGGAGGTATTTTGTCTTTGCAAATTAGCTGAAGTTGTGGAGGCTTTGTTCTTTCTCAGTTTATTTACGGAAAATAAGAGGCACAAGAGGTAGGATAATCATCAGGCAAGATGCTGAGAGGGGATCAGGTCACTGGCAGAGGGAGGAGAGGCCAGCTAGGCTAGCTATGGCCAAAAAGGGCTGGTTTCTGGGTTCTGCTCCTTCCCTGACTCCTTGGCTTACCACCCAGCCGCCAGAAGGCCTACAGCATAGCAGCTCAGCTCCTGCCCTAGGAAAGGCTCTCTAGAGGACCTTAGTCATTTTGGAAGATTTTAAAAGGAAGGAAAGAAGGAGCCCCAAATACAAGTACAATGAAAAATGTATTTATTAAATTACTTAAAAACCAGGATCAGTAATACCAAATAGGGGAAAATGTTCTAGAGCAAAAAAAACAGAAAGTGACTTTTCTATTATAGAGATTAGGGAAGCTAAGAAAAATGGGTCTTTATAGCAGACTCATATTTTATATCTTCATCTTTATGGAAATAGTGCAGCTTTGGTTGTTGAGTAGAGCACTCCACACTAGGCTGGCTTAAGATACTCCCCAAATTATGCAGTAAATGATGTTCCAGAATTGTGTGCTGCACACACGTAACAGCTAGAGTGATTCTGAAAGCATCCCTAGTAGCCTAGCACAGACCTTAGGTGAAGATGAAGCATAATCCTACTTACACAGATGATGGGATTTCCCCTACATTGCCAGCTACAACATCTGGCTTTGGTTCTGGCTTTTGTGGAGTAGCTGCCCGGCAGGGAGGGTCAGGGGGCCTTACTGGGGGACGGATGATTGTTTGTTTTTCTCCTGGAGGCCGCACTTTGCTGAAACTGTCAGCATCTCCTGGAAGAGAAAACAGGGACTTAAATAGCCAAATAGAACACTATTCATGAGTAAGCACCCAAGTTGGGGTTGACTGAGCCATGTTCTTTAGTCCCCATTTCTTCTTAGCCACCAAAAGTTTCTTCTGTTGGTTTTATAATTCTTCTGGCAGCTGTCCTTTAGAAAACCTACATTTAAACCTTGGCTGTAGAACCTTAAGTTTGCCATATAATTTCCTAAATGCATGTTTATTCCACTTTATAAAGTCAAAGAAGTAACGTATTACCTTATAGAAACTGAGAGGATTAAGTTAGGTACTAGCATATTTAGTACACTGCTAGACCCACAGTAGGTACTTGGCAAATGTTTGATGATGAATTTGAATTTGATAAATTGATCACCACTAAAATCCAGGTCCTGAGGCTGAAGAGATGGCTTAGAGTTCAAGAGTGCTTGTTGATCTCACAGAGGATCCAAGTTCAGTTCCCAGCACCCATGGCAGGAGGCTCACAGCCACCTGTAACTCTAGCTCCAAGGGATCTGATGCCATCATCTGGCTTCCACAGTCACTTGCACTCATGTACATGTACCCCATATACATAATTAAAAATAAATCTTTTTTAAAAACACACCTTAAATACCAGCACTCAGAAGGCAGAGGCAGGCAAATCTCTGTGAGATCGAGACTAGCCTAGTCTACATTGTGAATTTCAGACTAGCTGAGGCTATCAGGAGAACCCATCTTAAAAAATAAATAAATAAATAAAACCAGGTCCTTTCCAGCATTCAAACACTCTCCTAACCCACCTCCCTACTTTCATATTGCCAGCTTCCAGGTTACTCAAATCAATAGATTTTATGAAATGGTTCTGGCGTGATTATGGTAGAATAGATATAATCATACACTGCTAGTGGCACTGTAAACTAGACTTATCCTATCTAGATGCCCATCAAGCATTCTAGAATAATCTGTATGAAATAGAAACTCACATATAGGCGATAACTCATACTTGTTTATCTAGTAATTCCACTTTGAAGAAAAGCTGTAAGAAATTCATCCAAGAGGAAAAATAAGAAAAAAAACAATTGGCACAAAAACACATACCTTAATAGCAAAAATGTCAGACTCAACCATAAGAGCTAAGCAAGCAACTTAATTCCTACAAGCAATTAACCAATATATAATACATATAAACAGACAAGAATCTGGACAAGGTCAAGAATGTTTATGAAGCAATATCAAGTGAAAAAAAAGTCAGTCATAGTAGCTCACATCTGTAATCCCAGCACTTGGCAGGCTAAGGCAGGAGGATTTCTACCAATTCAAAGCCACCTTGGGCTATATAGTAAGCTATAGGTCAGCCTAGCGTACAGAGTGAAACTCTATCTCTACAAATGAAAGCAAAAATAAGAGCAAAAAGCCCACAAAAAGCATTCACAGTCCAATGAGGACAATATTGAAAAAGACATGTGTAACCATACAAGTTCATTAGTAGATCTTTTTTAAATGTATATTTTTATTGAATTTTTGTTCATTTCATATAACGGGTCTTAATCATATTTAGATCCCTTCCCTATCTGCACCCCCCCCATAGCCCACTCACAGGATTTTATGCATTCTGTCATTAGTAGATCTTGATATCTGCTTAATGGTTGTTAGTAGACCCTGATATTCATTTTTTCTACAAGTTAGTTAAGGTAAAAGTAAAAAATTACATTGAATCCATATAATACTTCTATAGGATTTACTTAAGTTGAAAACTGCTTTCTTCTTTTCTTCAAGACCTTGCCAGTAGTTCTAAAATGCATAGGATAAAAATCAAACTTCTTAATATAAGTTCAAGACCCTCCATAAGCTGGTACAAAATCACTATTCCATGACTAAGCTTAGACTTTATCTATCAGGTCTGCTTTATCAAACAGGTCTCCTCCCCACCCTATAAAAATAAACCTTTGAGTCTTACTTTTATGTTAGATAGAATGCTATAGGAGAAAGTACAGGATCTATAATTGTGCAGACCTAGCTTTGGGGCCTTATTCTGCTTCCAAGCTGTGGGAACTCGGACAGTGAGTTCACCTTAGTGACTATCATTTTATCATCTGGAAAATGGCTATGTAATAACACTTTTTCACAAGATGATTATAAAAATTAAGCTAGATGATCTACAGACAGTGACTAACTGTAAGCACTAAGCAGGGGAAAGTCTTAGACCGTTCAGTTTCTTTCCTTCGATGGGCCCCTTATTTCACATCATCTGCACTACATCCATCATTTAAGAAGAGGTAGGGAGAAGGATAGCCAACACGAGGATGTTTGGAAGAAGCCATCTGGAAACATATTTTATAATCTTCCTACGTATATAAGAGTTTAAATGGAGTTACCCTACACAGGGGATAATGCATCTCTCAGAAGCTGTAAGTTGCCAAATAAAAAGCCCAGTGCCAGGTGTGGGATACCTCCCCTTGAGTCGTTGGTCAGGGCTGTGCCAAAGACCCACAGAGCAATACAGACTATTGTCATTGCTCTTGGTTGCCCACCAGAACTTGACTGTAAGACCCTACTTCTAAAGACACCACGCACTTTTTCATGTCATAGGACATGAAAAAAAAATCAAGTTGGTACTGATCTTGAAGCTTCCTCCCTTCTGGCTGTCTTTCAGAGTAACAGAAGGTTCTATGCAGGCTGTTGGGGATGGGGAAAGTTGTCAACAATCTTACCCAGCCATGAACCCTACAAGTTATACAGTAACAACTAGGGTGGCAATAAATGCTCATTGTTAGAATAGTGGCATGAATGTTATGAAGGCAACCAACTGCTTTCTGATTGGATTGATGTTCTACTCCACAGGAAGAAACACATGCCCAGTACTGTAAATCTGACCAAGAACCCATGGTTGAGGAGGTCATGGGCTCCAAGAGTGAACTTACTACTATTATTTTGCTAAATGGGAATACAGTAAAACTGCGCTCTAAATTCGTACCTCTATATCCATGTGTACACTTATAGATGTGTGCAGCTCTCAGACCTCATTAGGTAAATTTCTTCATACAGCAGACAGCAGTTAACATAGAAACTCTTAACTGGTCAAAGTGCAGAGAATAAGTGTTTGTGTAGTACTCAGCCATAATGGGGCATCTGTATTATACCCCCTCCCACCAAGGTTCAGGGACCATTGCAGAAGAAAGGATAGAAAGATTATAAGAACAAAAGGTCAGGCAGGTCATGACAGGAATGTTGCTTCCATAAACTTACAACAGTTGTGACTGCCTGTTCAAGATGTGCACAAGATTAAGTCAGTCAACATTCTGCCATGCAGGGGGGAGGGGCTCATGAGTCTCCCACCCCCATTCCCAACTTTAGCTGAGGAACTATTGACTATTGATGGCTTCTAAGGAAGGAAGAATCAGGTTATTTTAAAGGATATGGCCCCTGATTTTTCAACTATGCTCTAGGGTATGGCCCTACACTCATGAGTATATAGGCAACACAAATTGAAGTTAACACATTATATAAAAAAGAAATATAAGTTGGATGGGGGGAGGATATGGAAAGAGTTAGGGGGAGGAGTAGGGAGTGAATATGATAAACATTGCATGAAATTCTCAAAGAATTAATAAAATCTTTAGTTCAAAAAAAGAGTCAACTCAAATCTCACCCCTCTAGCAGATTAGTAGATATGTAGAATTTCTATTCATTTAAATATTTATCAAGAGTTGATATATTGCAGTGTACCTAAAAAATTCATTCTAGCTATGAAAAGAGATGATGCTAGTACAGTATGAGTAGTTTACCAGTGGAGTGATGAATGAAACATCATTCCTATACATATATAACTTCTGTCTCCACATTTAAGCTCTATCTTACATTTCTGCACATGTCATGACCCTCAGCAACAAGTTGGTTATATAGAATTGCATCAGAAAAAAATCAAAGTTAACAGTAATCATTTTTTTCTAACCAACTTTATACTGTTCAAAGTATTCTCCCAGATGATATCCATCGTAAGCTTGGCAGAGAAGAATAGAAAGTTCACACAATTTCTATTTTACAGAGAATGAAACTTAGGTTCAAAAAGGTGAATCCACTTACCCACTACCTATGGTTAGATTGTGATAGAGTAATGAATAAAATTCTTATCTCCTGTTTGCATATTGACTCATTTCCATGTCTGCTGTGCTGTTTTTAGTATTAGTATATAAAATTTCAAATGATAATAATGATAACGGTAAAGAAATAACATCAGTAAAAGATAGCTACTATTTATTTTTACTTATTGATTTTGTAGTACTAAGGACTGAACCCAGAGTCTTATACCTGCTAGGCAAGTTCTCCACCACTGAACTACAGCTCTAACTCTAGCTACATTTTTAGTGAACATCTGTTCTGTTTCAAGTATTATCACACTGTACTTAGTGTTTTGTTACATTTCTTGTAACCAAGATTAACAATAATTCTGTAGAAAATGGTATACCTTTTACACAGGTGAGGTAGGTACTCCAAGATGGGAAGTAACTTCAAGATTTATCATCAATAGGTCTATGTTTTTTCTGAACCATAAGCCACACAAGACTGCTTCCTCACAGCAGCTCACACATGACCAAAGATGACAGTGTTATACAATTTCTACTAGTTACTGGAGAGGAGAATTGAGCAGGAAGGAGAAAACGCACCTTCAGAGCCAGAAAATATTTCTACCTGAAGTCATGCCCAACCAGGGTCCCATTTCTTGATGAGTACACCAGATATCATTTTCCAAGTAAAAAGCACATTCATTCCCTTTACAGCCACATTCAGATGGACATCAACCTAGGGCCTGGAACACAAGCACTATTAACTGTTTCTCTGTGTGGGCCCTTTATATGCAACTCCAACTTGATGACTCATTACAACTCAAGCTTTGAAGTAGTAGCAAAGAGTTTTCTTGGCTGAAAGATCCTGGTGTTGTTCTTTTTTGCCTCTAATTTGTCTCAGTCACAGTTAAGCCACAATGTCAAACTGGCAAGGCATGGAGAGAAGAGTC